GCCCCCCCTCACCAGCAGGCACAGCAGTGCCCAGCAAAGGCTGCACATGACCAGTGCTCACCCAACGCTGCCCATCTCCTAAATTTTTTAACCCACCCCACAGAGCCAGCCCCGCAGCAGTCAGGAACAGACACAGAGCCCAGCAAGACCTCCTCCCCTCCCCGTTCTCCTGAGGACCACCATCACAGCAAGGAGGGGGCCACAGCTGAGCAGAGGCTGTGGTGGAGGGCGAAGGGCAGCTGTTGCCCGTTTGCTCCCCGAGCCATAAACCCTGCCAAAGTGCAACCCGGGGCCATAAACCTGCCTTCCCGCAGAGCCCACGTCAGCCCCACCGCCCCGGCACAGAGCCCTCAGCTGGGCAGGGAGATGCCAAAGCTGGGTGACCCTGCCTGGCCCCAGGGTGATGAGACCTCCACCTCCCAGGGCTCAGGGACTCCCCCCAGCACCCCTAGGTTTGGTGACACGGTGACACAGAGGTGGCACAACCCCCCCTTCCCTGCAGCACAGCCCCCAGCCCACCTGTCAGGTGCTGCTCCGAGGGAACCACTTTGCACTTCTTGAAAAACTCATCCGTGAGGACATCCACCACCAGCAGCCTGGTCTCGTCACCGCCCGCCTTGATGGCTGCCACCACGTCGGCGTGCTGCTTGCCCTCCATGCACACCCCATTCACCTGCGGGCACAGCACCGCATCGCTGCTGGGGCCAGGGGACATCTGTCCCTCAGGAGCGCCGTGGAGGAGCCAGGTACCAGCCTTGGTACCAGTCACAGCCCCAGCACGGCCACCCGACGGCCCCCACAGGTATCCGCAGCCTAGCACGGATTAGCGGTGAAGCCAGCAAAACCTCATTAAAAGCAGATTTTCCTTTGAGTGATTAGCACAGGATCGTACGGGCAAAGCTGGCAGGGAACGCCCAGCAGGGCATGGACCCAGGGCTGGTGCAGGAGATGGGCAGCACAGGCGAGGCAAAAAGCCCTTGTGCCACGGCACGGTCCCCAAAGACCCCAAAGCTTCACCCCAAAAGAGGCAGCAGCCCCACACCCTGGAGAGCAGCGGGGTCGCAGCTCAGCCGGTCCTTGCCCTCATGGGTCACCATTCCCTCTTGGCACAAACCCTGTCCCCACCCCGGTCACGGCCAGCAGCAGACCTTGGGGCCATCGTGCACCTTGTCCCCAACCTGCTCCACCCCAGGGACACTCCTGCTCCGGGCAGGGGACAGCACTACCGCTGCTTAACCCACAGCCGGCTAATTAGCGCTCAGCCCCAACCCTCTGTGGTGCTGCTCCCGTCACCCGCATGGCTGCACCCCTGGGTGGGGACCGGCAGGCTGGTGCGGGTCGGGCGGCTGCACCGTGAGTCACTGCCGGTGCCGGGGACACCACGCACTGTCCCAGCAAAGGGCAGCTCCCTCCCGGGCACAGGGATGCGAGGGAGCACTGAGCTTTTTGGGGAGATGCCCCCCTTCCCCAACCCGCCAGCAGCCCCCCCTGCCCTGGCATACCTCGATGATGCGGTCCTGGGGGGCCAGCCCGGCCGCCTCGGCCGGTGAGTCGGGGTCGATGGCACGCACGTACTGCCCGGGGCGGCTCTTGTCGCTGTGCAGGTTGAAGCCGTAGCCCTTGGGGCCCCTCTTTATGTGGCACAGCCGAGGCCGCAGCTCCTCCTGCAACGGGGACAGCCCGTGGGAAAGATGCTCTCCTGGAACCCTCAACACCCAAGGACAGGACCAGAACCACCAGACATCCGCTTGGGTGGCAGAGACACCATCTCAGACGGCCATCTGCACCCACAGACACCTCAAGTTGCAACACAGGGTGCCAAAACACCCTATGAACCCAACCTCTACTTAATTAATTAGGCGCAGGGCACACTGATTGCAGCAAAACGTTAAAGAAACATGTTATTATGTCTGTCCCCAGACC